TTAATTAATTACTAATTGTGTCATCTTGGTCAGTTTTGTTTGTTCCTTTGACTTTGACGCTTTCTTTGGGAAAAGACGGCACGGTTCATGGAGTGAATGGTGGTTGAGTCGAGCCTTGTGCTGAGTCAGCATCGCTCGCAGTGCGGGTTACATAGTACAGTGAACAGCAGCCACTCTAATTTCCTGTACCTGGTTATTTTCCATTTCCTGGACAAAGAAGGCCTCCCCGTTGTCTCCGAGCTTCATATGTAGATCCACCGGCTCTCCATTAATCTCCATGTCCACCTGTAAAATATATATATACACATCTGCATTTTAAAACTCCTTAGTGTGTTTTTCTTTGCATGCCTCTTCATTTGCTGACCACTTTCTCTCGCGAGCGGAGGACTCCCATCTTGCCGAAGCGGACGTGGAAGGGCGAGCAGCGCAAGGAGCCGTCGGGCTGCCGCACCACGATGACGTCGATGCAGCCCGACAGCGTGGCCGGGTTGAGGCCTCGGTACAGCTCCTTGACCTGCACCAACACCTGACCCGCCAACTGGCCCACGTAGTTCATGGTCTGACGGGTCTGGTGGGGACAGGCAGAACACAAGCAAAAAACAGGACACGTTATACTTTTTTTTACCAGTTGGAAACATTTAAAGTGTTTTGCATGATATGTATGTCCCCTTTAAGTATAGACAACTTCTGAAGAAGCGTAATTGGTCGCAGTTGAGGGCGGGCATTCTAAAAATCTCTTCTCAGATACGTTCTGGTTCCAAGGAAATAAGAACGCCTTTGACCTGTTGTGTGTGCCCATCCCTGAAAGTGCGGGAAACTTGTCAAAGCCTTTTCCTGACACCCGAGTTCAAAAAAAAAAGTCATGTGGTTAAAAAGTGATGTCATACAAACTAATACTGTAGCTGCATCGTGAATAATAAGAAGTGGGAGAAGGACGTTGAATAGTGACAAATACAGTTCAGGCATGACTCGACAATATTTTGGGAGTACGATTATAAACTTTTACTCATCTTTGAAAGTGTTTGATTGCCTTCTTTTACCCCCCCCCCCCTCAAAATTGCAAGAGGGATTTTATGGACCGTGGAATGGAAAAGGGCCTCCCCCAAAAGTGGTCCCAAAGACTGAAAGGGATGGATTGTACGTAACCATTTTCCATAGTGCTTGTCGTCATGAGGGTGTACAGTCAAACCTCGGTTTTCGAACGTCTCTGTTCTCGACCAAATCGGTTTTCGACCAAAAATTTCGAGTTTTTTATACCCCGGATTCCGACCGAAAATCGGTTCTCAACCAACCTGAGCGCATTGAATGCGCCACTTGACTCCTCTCGCCTTCCTTACACGAGGAAGTGACGCTTCCTCGTGTAGCGTTCCATTGTGAGCAGACGTGTTCAATAAAGTTTTTTATTTGAAAGAGTGTGGTTTCGGTTTTCAAACAAATCGGTTTTTGAACAGCCTTCTGGAACGGATTATGGTCGAAAACCGAGGTATGACTGTAGTCGCTGTGCCTTTGAGTGTTTATGGCTTCAAAAAGCAGCGACTAGCCTGGTGAGTGACATGGGTGGCAGACAAGTGAATGTAGTCTAAATAGCGATTGTAATTACAGCTTGTCACATTGATGTGTTAGCATCTACAGTACGATGGGGATATGTTACCTTCTTGACGTTCGAAATAAAAACACACAAGCACGGCCACACGCAAGAAGACAAGAAACGCCACAGAGGAATGCTGAGATTTGAACCCAGAATCACAGCACAGGACTGTGAGGCAGATGTGCTAACTAACGCACATCGGATGAAGATGGGTTTCATTTTGTGTGTTGAAAGCTGAGGATGGTGTTGCGCAAGAGCATGACTACGATTCAGTCACTTAATTTGCCTCGGCCAGCTGAGTTGACAACATTTGACTTTGAACACAGCACAATATTTAATGCAAACTGAAAATTGTTCATCTGCGGACTGCAGCTATTTTTAAAGGCTCGATTCATCCTGGCTTGCAGAAGCGACAGCGCTTTGACTTTGAAACTGAAAAAAAAAATATTAACGCCATCGACAACTCCCTTTCCCTCCTCCTCCGCTCTTGAGGGCCAAGTCTTTAATCCAAAGAATATAATATCGATGCACTCCTGTGTGCTTGGTAGAGTGGGAGTTGCCATCCCCCCCACCTCCCTTCAACATTATTCTTCACCGTCTCTCTCAGTGAAACCTTGCAAGACCACGACTGCTGAATAAATGCTTTGTTGTAATATAGGAGTAAATATGGGATAAGTTTATGTACATTTATTCTAGCATAAAACAACTGAAGCCAATTGTGCTCATCATACTGAACAGTTGTGAAAATGAAACAAGCTGATGTCACATGGGAAGTGAAAACAAAAGCGAACCATTTCCTTCATTTTTTTCGTGAATTGGGCGCTGACACTCATATTGAAAATACATACACGTCCGAGCATTTAGTCCTTTCATGTCTTTGATATCCATCTTAACTTTAAGGTCCTTGTTCTAATACACTCTTTGCCCTCACTATATTTTTTTTCCACTATTAGTTTCACTTATGATCTACTAGTATGCAATAATAGGCACACTCGTTACACTACTACCTTATAACTGTCTTACATTCAAGTTTGGATGTCCCTGATATCCAGCACTAGATCGATGTACTAGTACTGTAAACTCTTTGTCCTCACTAGTAGGAAAGAAAGAGTCCCACAAGTAGAAAAATTACATGTTACTACTAGTCGCTAAGGAAAACTGCGCACTACTTGACAGCTGATCTGCCAGTAGTACATTCGTGACGTGAGGGAAAAAATGTACTACGGTATTTAACCTCGAGTGCTTCGCAAGTCGTACTCGTAGCGCGCAGATTGTTGATGGTGTAAACATCCATTTTTTCATAGTTCTACCTGGATACGTACTTGAATTTTAATATGTATGTATGTACAAGTGATCGCGTTAAAGTAAATGGCCCCTCAGATGGATCGCAAATACCCTGCGGCTTTCCAAGAATAAAAGGGACTGCCGCAGTTTAGATCAATACCAGACTAGAATTATATTTTTAGAGCAAAACAAGAATTATACAAGTCCAGTCACTTAACTATAGGGACCGTAAATGACATTTAGGTGGAAATACATAGTGTCTCTTACCTTCTGATTACGTTGACAAAACGAAATAGATTCCTCAGCGGAGCATTATAAAATACTCACTTGCCTTCGATCACTGTTCATGATCTATTTTTAACGCTACAGGCTGTTGTCATCTCACCGTGATGAAACGTGACCTACATTGATCATGATATGAAGTAGAAATGCAGCAGTGTGTCTTTCGGACAGCTGACGCAGGCTTTTTGCTTGCCACTGTCTTTGCTCGTACGCTCCAGACGAGGCTCCGCCCATCGGCCAATCAGCGTGGAGCTTCCGCGTTGCTAAAATCACCGCTGACAGGGCAACAGCGGTGACATATAATTTCCTGAAGTTTATTTTTAAAGCGATAAAACTAGCTAGATACGAAGAAAGACCGCTGGTAGGTAGATAGACAGATGCAAGGGATGTTCATTTGATAAAACTATGAGCAAAATGAATCAAAGTTACATTGAAAAATTAAACTGAACTGGGGATTGGAAAGACAGACACTTTTGCATTGGCACAAGTAATTTAGTTCAAGGATATAAAATAATGAGCGGCAACATGGGTAATTATATATAATAAATCATTTGTACAAATGCGATATTTGAGCCAAATGTAAAAATATTTATATCGCCCCCACCACCTGAGCCTCTTTTGACTGTGGCGGCAAACCAGCTGACATCACCGTGCCGGCCTGATGTTATGAGGTGATCCTCTTAGCCAATCACAGCACACCTCGACGCCACAGTTCTTACTTGTGGTTTTTATCGTCAAATTTAGGCTCCACACCATACCCCCAGGCCCCTTCCTCCTCACTTTCCTCAGCTCCTCCTTCTGTGAGCATAAACATGCCATTTAAATATTTGCATTCCTTTTTTTTTTCATTGGCGGCAAGTAATGAACTGTTGAGGCACCTGTACTGAAGTGCAATTTTCTGTTGACTTTTAACGTACAGCCCCTCTATATATTTGAAAACGGATGCGTACTAGTACTTTCTAATGCTTTTATTTCTGTGAAGGAGGCATCTGTACTTTTGCCACATGTAATGCGTAGGTGTGTGTTTGTGTGCACCGAGAGGGCTGACAGCCAACATCCTGTCATTACATCATCTCTTCTTGCCGAATGTGGGTAATTCGTTAGTTGTGCATTGCATCATGTCAGGCCTACATTTACGAGCTGTTAAGCAGACACTAATGATACTTCTGTAATTTGAAGCACATACTTTAGCAATCCGGGAAGAAAGGTTCTGCGTTGTGACAAGCAAGCGGGGAAATGGCAAGTTAATTTCTT